GGGGGTAGTAAGATGAAGGTGGATGATGTTTTTATGTAATGTTGGTCCAGGTAAAAAAGTACAGAATGGCTATTCCCATTATAGCATTGAGATGTTTGCTGCAAATACAACACAGTATGCATTTTAATTTAGAGCCATATTATGTCCATAGTTAAACTTTTGATTCTTTAATTGTTCTAAGTTTTGTTTTATTTGTATTACTTGAGACCTGTTCTCAGTTAAGAAATAAAAAATGATTGATGTCTAAAAACAGGGGTTTCTTATATTTTTCTTTAGATTATCTTTAGATATATATTCTGAATATAATCATATTTTATATGTATGACAAATTTAAAGGTGGTATTGTTTTCTTTATGCAACTACTCAAAATTTTAATACGTTCTTTCATTTCTGAACGTGGGCAAGGGACATAATATTTCTCAAACTGCAGGCCACGTTTCACTTTAACATGCATGTTTTTTGAAATGGCAGAATTTCTCAGAGCCGCGTGGTTTTCACTATTGTGTGTGCTTAATGTTCACAGTCAAACATAACTGAATAAATAAGAGGATACATTTTCTCTCCTTGCCTGAAAAGTGAAAATTGTTATAGGTCAACTGCTGAGAGGTCTTGCCTCCATCACATACGTCTTGCTTGCAACTTATTTTCCATTTATTCCAAGCAAACACAATTCACTTTACATTTGCTTGTTATTTACTTGGTTTTTAGTTGTTTTAACATAAGAAGAAATTATTCTTTCTCAGCTGTGCAGGTGCTGCGCTCCTAACTTCCCAGTGCCAGGAGTGGAAACCCCTGCTCACATACCATCTTGATTATTTGTTCTACTCATACTCAAAAGCGTATTAACTCACACATAGAAGAGATCATAACTAAGCTACACACAAATCTGCCTTGTGGTTTGAGGATCACATATACCAACGCACACCTAGGAAGGGCTTCTTTCAAATGCGGGTCAAGAGCCCAAGCGAGGAGTCCCACAGGCCTGGAGTCCCAATGTAGTGACCACATACTGGCTGTGTACCCTTGGATGTGCTTTGTAAGGTCTCTGACGTTCGTTTTCATCAATGGATAAAAGGTGCTCCAGCTCATAGGATCATTTAAGGAACAGGAAGGTACTTGGCAAATCACTATGGCATGATGTAAACCGGCTGTTTAAAAAAACCCACAGGGCTTGATTTGCCTTGATTTGTAGTGTGATATAAATCCTCCCACCATGGCCAATTTCCAACTATGAATGATTTAACAGCCACCTGGTAAAATTCCTAAATATTTAACAGTCCCCTGGCACCAACCAAGTGCAGCCCACCATTGCTAGCCCTCAATAAATGGCAGTAATTATTTGTTAATAATTATCTTTTGTCCTCCATTGATCTAGAAAAAATATTCCTGTTTGGAAAATTCCGTATAGATGGAGGATGTGAAAGCTAAGGAAAGAATAGTAATTTACAATGTTTAAAATGTTAATGATTTCAAATAACAAACAAAAAAGCTCCCTTCAGAATTTTAGAAGTAGGCAGAAAACTAGTAAGAAAACAACATTTACTACTACGAAATGTGTTAATTAAATGCTTTAAAATAGGGATAACTTTGTAAAATATTCTGGGTGACTTAAATTTAATATTAACTTTTTCAAGATTAGTTTGGAATGACTTAACTTTCTGGTCTTAGATTATTTAATCTACACACACACACACACACACACACACACACAAATCCTAACTGGAAAAGTGTGTGTATTTGATACCTATCAAATAGAGATAAACTGGCAGCCATTATTTTAAAACCCAGTGCTTTACAAAAAAAGTTTCCTTTAAATTTATCCAAATAACTTTTATATCATTCAAGACTGATTTTGGATTTTCAAAGTTGGCTGCAATCTTATGTCTTTTTGAAATGTTCCTTTACTGAATAACTGCGGAAATCATTTTTTCGTGGTAATAATAACAATTTGCATGTTTAGTCTGACATGATGGACAGGGGATGGCATATTAAAAGGAAACTACTTCAGAACAGCTGGACATATTAAGCCTGAAAATACCTTTTATGTAACAATGGACATCTCAATATACAAAGTGCAAAGCTGTGAGCGATCTAGGAGAGAATCAGGAGACTTGAGAGCAAATCAGTTTGTGCTGAGAGCACCACTTTCCATGTACATGCCCTGGCTCATGAGCAAGGCTGGAACAACAGGCCTGGGGAAGCATGTGGGAAACCAAGGGCATTTGGTGAGTGGAAGCTGATTCACTCTAGTGAAACTTCTCTGTCCATTTCTGTAAGAGACTAGTGTGGAGGTGCTAAAAGAAGAGGGTGTATTTTCTATGTTAATCCCTCTCACAAAGTAAAGAATCACTGGAACTCTGGCTTCACAGGGGATTGCCTAGGTTTACATACCCAGAGCGGGGCCATGAGGAAGAACTGGGATGACTGTGTGTATTAGAACCCAAACCATTGTCCACTCAAGTGAGATCCTCATGTGGCATGTGGCCCCAGTTGCAAATACCCGTCTCTGGGGCTGCTAAGTGCATTTGACTGTGCACACATGTACTATTCCTAGACATGCAATAGATGTGCATGAAGTATATTCCATGAAGTAATTAAGTGGCATTTTGGGGGCGGTATCCGATTTTGGGAAAGACTATACCAGTGATTCCCAAAGTGGGCGCTACCGCCCCCTGGTGGGCGCTGCAGCGATCCAGGGGGGGCGGTGATGGGCACAGGTGCATTTGTTTTAACTTTTTTTGTATTACCTTTCTATTCTGAGTATTAGAACCCAAACCATTGTCCACTCAAGTGAGATCCTCATGTGGCATGTGGCCCCAGTTGCAAATACCTGTCTTTAATACATATATCTTTCTGTTTAATTGCTATTAAAATTTAAAAAAAAATAATTTCCAAGGGGCGCTGAGTAATATTTTTTCTGGAAAGGGGGTGGTAGGCCAAATAAGTTTGGGAACCACTGGACTATACCTTCTTCCTCTCACTTGTATAAATTAAAACATTTCTCAGGGTGTGAATTGCTTTTAGGATTATCACAACCCTAGTGTGGGGGTATAAGTTACATTTTCCAAGTTCATATTACATATTTAAGTGAAAGAGAGAAATGTTTTATGTTTTTCTATTGACACAAAATGGGGTCACTTGGAGTCCTTGCGAAAAGATATATAATTAGCCTTCTGGACAAGCCAGCTGGTATGTCACCAAAAAAAAATGTGAGAAACATCAACTGGCAGGTCTTTCATCTGCTCATTTCTTGGACTCTTTCCCACAAAAACTAATTCATTAATTTAAAGATTTGGCATATGACAAGGCAATGTGGGAAACTTTACCTGGAGTCAATACCTATCAGAAATCAAAAGGGATATATTTCAAGGACTGTAGGAGCAGGTTTTCCAAAGGCAATTCAGCACTAATTATTCTTTTATGACCTTACTTTAGCCCCTATATCATATTTTGTTCTTTTTTATGTAATTTATTCTGCAAGCAAAAACCAAAATTGAGGACAACTATTTAGAAAATGAAAATATATTTAGGATAATTTGGCAGGTTATTTTTTAATAACATATTTCTCTTTTGAGCTATTTAGGATATGAGCCAAAGGATTGAAAACATGATAAATCCTACTTTATTAAAACTTGGATCTAGGGCTTTTCTTTTAGATGAAACACTGCCCAACTGGAAAGTATTAATAATGAATTAGATATATAGGCTTTGAACATAATAATTACAATGATTCCAATCTTTTTTTAAGTATTGTCTACTTTGCACCACATTATATCATTGATCCTCAGAACAGCTCTATAAGTCAGTGCTTTTTTTTAATCTTCTTCCTATGTAGTTAAGGAAACTAAGGCTTAGACATTTATTGTTTTGTTGTTGTTGTTGAAAGTATTATATATGTCCCCTTTTTCCTCATTGACCTCTTCTATCCTGTTTCTCTACCCTCCCCCCCCTAACCCCCACCCGCCCGCCCCAGGCCTTCATCACCCTTTTTTCTGTGTTCCATGGGTTATGCATATATTCATATGAGTTCTTTGGTTGAACTCTTCCCACCTACCCACCCTCCCCCATGTTCCCTCTGAGATTCGACAGTCTGTTCTATGCTTCTCTGTCTCTGGATCTATTTTGTTCGTCAGTTTATTTTGTTCATTATATTCCACATATGAGTGAGATCATGTGATACTTGTCTTTCTCTGACTGGCTTATTTCGCTTAGCATAATATTCTCCAGGTCCCTCCATGCTGTTGCAAATGGTAAGAGTTACTTCTTTTTTTACAGCTGCATAGTATTCCATTGTGAAAATGTACCACAGCTTTTTTATCCACTTATCTACTGATGGGCACTTGGGATGTCTCCAGATCTTAGCTATTGTAAATTGTGCTGCTATGAACATAGGGGTGCATACATTCTTTCTGATTGTAGTTTCTGTTTTCTTAGGATACTTTTCTAGAAGTGGGATCACTGGGTCAAATGGCAGTTCCATATTTAATTTTTTGAGGAAACTCCATACTGTTTTCCATAAGAAAGTTTTTTTTAAATCCTCAACCAAGGACATGCTTAGAGATAGCAAGGGAGGGAGGAAGGGAGGGAAGGAGAGGGAGAGAGGGAGAGAGAGAGATTATGAGAGAGAAACATTCAGTTGTCTTCTGTACATGCCCAGACTGGTGATCAAACCTGCAACTCAGGTATGTGCCCTGACTAGGAATTGAACCCTCTACCTTTCAGTGCACAGGACGACACTGGACTAACTGAGCCTCTCCAGCCAGACAAGGATTAGAAATGTGAAGTAATTTGTCCAAGTTTCTATTGCTAGTAAGAGAGGAAAGGGGGATTACATGAAGGCCAACTGATGGAGAATCACCTTCTGAATCACTAAATTATATTGTCCACCAAGATTTGCAATTTCACATCAGCTGTAGGAAAAGTATGCAGATTGCCCTGTTTTTGTGTGGATGGTGGCATGGAGCCTCTGAGTAACTGACACCTTGTTTCTCTGCCTGTAGGCCCCTGGGGACGGTGTACAGGAGACTGTGGGCCTGGAGGAGTCCAGACTCGGGCACTGTGGTGCTTCCACTTTGAAGGTTGGACAAGTCACCTGTCCAGCTGTGATGAGAACCACAGGCCTCCAAAGGAGAGGAGCTGCTTCCGAGTCTGCGACTGGCACAGCGACCTCTTCCAGTGGGAGGTCTCTGACTGGCACCACTGTGTGCTTGCTCCCCCAGTCCTGGGCCAGGCCAAGCCTCGGACCTCCGAGTGCGTGACGGCCCAGCATGGGCTGCAGCACCGGACTGTGCGCTGTGTTCAGAAGTTGAACAGGACCATGGTCGCCAGCGAAATATGCGAGCACTTTGCCCCTCAGCCCCCCACAGAACAAGCGTGCCTCATTCCTTGCCCGCGGGATTGTGTTGTATCCGAGTTCTCACAATGGTCCAAGTGTAGCAAGGGATGCGGGAAGCGACTGCAGCACCGGACCCGCGTGGCCATCGCTCCCCCTCTCTACGGAGGGTCTCACTGTCCCAATCTGACGGAGACAAGAACCTGTGTCGCCCCCATTTCCTGTCCTCTCGGCGAAGAGGAATATACTTTTAGCCTTAAAGTTGGCCCGTGGAGTAAATGTAGACTGCCTCAGCTGAAGGACATGGACCTCGCCGGAAGGACTGTTGTGGATTTTAGCTCTGATTCAAAGGAGCAAGTCACCTTGAGATACCCAGGTTACAAGCCACATCACCACGCCAAGCCCTGGGACATAGAGATAGGTTACCAAACCCGGCAGGTGTGGTGTACCAGGAGTGATGGGAAAAATGCCATGATAAGGTAGGAGGCCTTCCGTGTTCATATTTTTGACTCACCTAAATATCGTACAGTGTAATTTTATAAGGTTTCTTTCCGATTTTCTGCAAAAGGACAATTGTAAGCAGGCTTGGGATTTTAGTGTTTAGAAGTTTTATTTGAGAAGTCTTCAATTTTAATTCTAAAAATACCAGAGTGTAGCCCAGGCAATGCTCTGAATTCTTGCATAATTGGTAGTGGAACTATATTGGGTGTCATATATTTCCACACTTTATCAAATATCAACCAATTAAAACAAAAGTCTTTTATTACTATAGTAATAAAAAGATATAAATATTCAACTTCACTCAAGTTGGTGATATAAGTTATTTAAATGATAATTTTTAATAATTTTTTTCTTAAACTTCTTTTATTGCTTTAGTTTTGTTTTCATGATTAAGAAAGATTTTTTTACATCTGAGATGTAGAATTTTTTTATAATAGAACTAATATTAATATGTTAATCTAAGACTGCTTTCTTTGGTGTTGATATGATAAAAATATTAACTTGAACAGCAAATAATTAGAATTACAACCTCTACAGGGTATGAACTAAAACTTAAAAGCCATTATCTAGGTTTCAAGATTATGTGTAATTGTTTTATTTTAAATTGTAGTATAAAACATCGTGACATTAAACCCAGGGAACTATGTTAAAGTAATATTTGTTGAATTTTCCCCCAGAAGGCCTTATATGGAAACACTGGTATATTGCCAAGTTTCTTCCAAATTAAGATGCTTTTCAATAGTATTTAAATTACCAAACAATGAAACACTCATCTTTAAAATTACTCATTACAGCGTTGGTGGTAAACAATGAAACACTCATCTTTAAAATTACTCAGTATCACTCGTTACTGTTTTCTGGGGATCCACAGCTGGCTGGGAGAGGTTCAGAAGGCTACCTCTGCTATTCAAGAACAAAGAGATGTGATGATTTTTTTTATTTGACTTTAAAAATGAGCATATTTTATCTTGGGTGCTTCATTCTGATTTATGCTGCATACAATTTGCAAGTCCATTGAAGAGTGATTTTCTGCCTTTTACTATTGCCTCCCTCTGTGCAGCCCAAAAGATTAAGTAGATGATTTGGGTGATGATTATTTGAATATGTATGTGGAATTCTGTAATAACATTGTTTTCTTAATATTCTACATTGTATTATTACATAGAATGTTTTCATCTTTAGTTTGCTTGTTTTTACCAAGTTCTTTAAAAATATTAATGGATTTTATTTTTAGAGCAGTTTCAGTTTTATTTTTACAGAGGATTTGAGTGGAAAATATAGAGTTCTCATATGCCTTCTCATCACTCCCCTTCCACACATACACTGTTTCACACACATATCTTGCATTGGTGTAGTATATTTGTTACAATGGATGAGGCAATATTGATACATTACTATAGCCCAGAGTACATTAGAGTTCTACGGGCTTGTACCGATGTATAATGACGTGCATCCATCATTGCTATATCATAGAAAATAGTTTCACTTCCATAAAAATCTGTAATCCATCTGCTGATCTAATGCTTCTTCTCCTTGAACCCCTGCTAACCAATGATCTCTTACTGTCTCCATATTTTGTCTTTTCCCAGAATGTCAGAGTGTTGGACTGATGTACTGTATGGCCTTTTCTGTTTAGCTTTGTTCACTTGGCAATATACAGTTAAGGGTCCTCCATGTCTATTCATGGCTTGATAGCTCGGTTGTTTTTATCACTGAGTATTCCGTTGTCTGAGTGTACCGCACTTTTTTATCCATTCACCTATTGAAGGACATATCGGTTGCTTCCAAGTTTCTGCACTTGTGTATAAACTGCTATAAACATTCATGTGAGATTTTTATGTGGCCATGTGTTTTCAGTGCATATGGGTAAATGTCAATGAACACAATTCATGGATATTATAGTAAGAGTATATGTAGTTTCTACAAAATTTCCGAAATGTCTGTCAAAATGGCTGTATAATTTTTTATCCCCAATAACAATGAATGAGAATCCAACTGCTTCACGTACTGGCAGGACTTGGTGTTTTCAGTGCTTTGGGTTTTAGTCATTTTAATAGGTATATGATGGAATCTTGCTTTAATTTTCCATTCCTTAATGATATATGATGTGGAGCTTATTTGCCATCTGTATATCTTCCTTGGTGAGATGTCTGTTTATTAAAAATATATTTTATTGATTTTTTTACAGAGAGGAAGGGAGAGAGATAGAGAGTTAAAAACATCGATCAGCTGCCTCCTGCACATCTCCCACTGGGGATGTGCCCGCAACCCAGGTACATGCCCTTGACCGGAATCGAACCTGGGACCCTTCAGTCCGCAGGCTGACGCTCCATCCATTGAGCCAAACCGGCTTCGGCGAGATGTCTGTTTAGATCTCTTATCTATTTATTGATTTGTAGGTTTTTTTCTTATTGTTGAGTTTTAAGAATTGTTTTATTTTCTGTTTTATCAGATATGTCTTTCAAAAATATATTTCAGCCCTGGCCAGTGTGGCTCAGTTGGTTAGGCACCATCCCATGCATGTAAAGGTTGCAAGTTCAAGTCCTGATCAGAGCACATGCCCAGGTTTCAGGCTTGATCCCCAGTAGAGGGCATGCAGAAGGCAACTGATGAATGTTTGTTCTCATATTGATGCTTCTCTCTTTCCCTCTCCTTCCCTCTCTCAAAAAATCAATTATAGTGCAGTTTGTGACCTGTCTTCTTATTCTCTTAAAGAAGTTTTTTGTTTGTTTGTTTTTTACCTTAATGAAGTTCAGTTTATCATTATTTCTGTTATGGATCATTCTTTGGTGTTAAATCTAAAATATAAATAAATAAAAAATCACCAAACCCAAGGTCAACTATATTTTTTCTAATGTTATCTTCTACAAGTTTTATAGTTTTGCATTTTACATTTAGGTTTATGATCTATTTTGAGTGAATTTTTGTGAAAGGTGTAAGGTCTGTGTCTTGATTTACTATTTTTTTTGGTTGTCCTATCACCATGTATTACAAAGATTATCCTTGCCCTAACCGATTTGGCTCAGTGGATAGAGCGTCAGCCTGCGAACTCAAGGGTCCCGGGTTCGATTCCGGTCAAGGGCATGTACCTTGGTTGCGGGCACATCCCCAGTAGGGAGTGTGTAGGAGGCAGCTGATCAATGTTTCTCTCTCATTGATGTTTCTGGCTCTCTATCCCTCTCCCTTTCTCTCTGTAAAAAAATCAATAAAATATATAAGTTTTTTAAAAAGATTATTCTTTCTTCACTGCATTGCCTTGTTCCTTTGTCAAAGATCAGTTGACACTATTTGTGTGTATTTATTTCTGAGCTGTCTTTATTGCATTGATCCCTTTACATATTCCTTGCTAATAACACACTGTCTTTAATACTAAAGATTTATTGTAAGTCCTGAAGTTGGGTAGTCCTGAATTAGTTTTGTGTTGATTGACTCTTCTGGATCTTTTGTCTTTTCATATACATTTTAGAAGCATTTGGTTCATAACCACACAACCACACATTTGTTCATAATTTTCTTGTAATGTATAGATTAATTTGGGACGAACTAACATCTTGATAATATTTAATCTTCCTATTTATTTACATGGGTTATCCATTTATTTAAATTTTCTTTGATTTCTTTCACCAGAGTTTTGTACTTTTTCTCATATAGACCTTGTACATATTTTATTAGATTGACACTTAAGTATTTCACATATTTTTGGTGCTAATACAAATGTATTGTGTTTTTAATTTCAAATTCTATGTTTTCATTGTTGGTACACAAGATAGCAATTGTCTTGTCTGTTAATCTTGTATCCTACAACTTTGTTATAATTGCTTATTAGTTTCAAGATGCTTTTTGTTGTTATTGTTGATTCTTTGGAATTATCTGTATAGATAACTATATCATTTGCAAATATTTCTTTCTTTTCTATCTATATACCTTTTATTTCCTATTCCTGTTTTATTGCATTATCTAGGACTTCTATTATGATCTAAAATAGGAGTGGTAAGAAGGAACATCCGTGCCTTGTTCCTGATCTTAGCTTGAAAGCATCTGGTTTCCCACCACTAAATATAATGTGAACTGTAGGGTTTTTATAGATGTTCTTCATCCATTTGAAGAAATCACCCTCTATTCCTAATTTGCTGAGAATTTTTATCATGCATAGGTCTTAGGCTTTGTCAAATGCTTTTTCCCCCGTATATAGATCGGATTTATTAATGTTCTTTTTAAAAATGTATTTTTATTGATTTCAGAAAGGAAGGGAGAATGAGAGAGAGATAGAAACATCAATGATAAGAGAGAATCATTGATTGGCTGCCTTCTGAATGCCCCACACCGGGAATCGAGCCTGCAGCCCAGGCATGTGCCCTGACCAAGACTTGAATAGTAACCTCCTGGTTCATAGGTTGATGCTCAACCACTGAGCCATGCTGGGTGGGCTATTAATATTCTTGATTCCATTATTGATTTTTGAATGTTGAACAAGCTTTGCACACCTGAAATAAATCACCCTCGCTTGAGGTGTATTATATTTATAATATATTGTTGGATATTATTTGCTAATATTTTGTTGACCCTTTTTACATACATACTCATGACAGATATCAGTCTTAATTTTCCTTTCTTGTAATTGCTTTCTTCAGTATTGGTATTAGGGTAATGCTGGCCTCATAGAATGAATTGGGACATATGTCCTCTGCTTTGTTTTTCCAAAATAAATTATAGAGAATTGCTGTATATTTTTTTTCCTTGAATGTTTGATGGAATTTGACAGTGAACCCATATGGTCCTGGTGTTTTATGTTTTGACAGGTTATTAATTATTGATTCAATTACTTTAATGGCTATAGATCTGCCAGGGTAGGTCTGCCCTGGCATGTGTGGCTCAGTTATTAAGGATTGTCCCATGCATGAAAAGGTCACCTGTTTGATTCTGGTCAGAGCACATGCCTGGGTTCCTGGCTTGATCCCCAGTATGGGTCGTGCAGGAG